AAAGATTCTTTCCTCTCTCGCCTCTATGCCAGCCACGCGGCGGCAGGTCGGGCGCGGCCCATGACCATCGGTTTGGCGCTGGAGGAGCAAATGGTGGCGTCGGTGCCAGTGGATACCTTCGACCTCCCGTTGGATGCAGTTGTGACACCAGACAAAGTGTATTTTCGAAAAGACCGGGAAAGGAAAGGGGAGGAGGGAGAAGGGGGAGTCGGTGCGAGGAGAGGAAGGTAATTTGGGGCCTGTATGCGGCTTATAATGGGAGACAAACTTGCGCAGGCAAGGTGCATAACGGATGGCAAAAAGATCTCGGGAGCGCTGAGGATGGAAACGGTCGCACGACAATTGAATAGGAGGCAAAAGAAGGTGAGAGAAGGAAGCACTCCATTCCTTCCAGCGAAGTCGTGCCATGGAGTGCATAGCAAGGAGCGTCCGGGTATCCGGCTGGGACAGTCTCTGTCTCATGCGTCAGCGAACGCCCAGTAACCTGATAATTAATAATCGTACGCGTAGCTATGACGGATTTCTCCGCGTCAGTATGAGCGGGTTTGCCCCCCCAGTGCGAAAGACACCCTTCGAGCAGGGCTGTGGAACGCGTCGCAGGTAATGGACATTCTTCAATTTTATTCGATTGTCAGGCTGGTGTATACATGCATTTCTAGCTGAACAGTTATCGATCCGCTCCACGTTAGACGTGTGTGACGCATTACTTTGATGAGTCTCGTTTCTTGCTTTCAAGTACTTGCATTCGGCACAAATTTGACACAATTCTCAATCTTATCTCCCAACTCCGCCGCACCACTCTACATCGAACCTCCCTAACTCACACGGCCCAGTGTCATCCATTTGCTGGCCCCCCAGCATCGACAAACACATTGTCGTGGTATTCTTTGGACTTAACAACATTTGGCCGCCCACTACATGGACGAATCTTAAATATTATCATATTGCAACTGGATAGTACGGAATTGCAAGCAGTTGTGTCCTTGCGATAAATGACAACACAAGTCTCCCGCCCCTGTCGATCTATCCAGTCTATCTTCGATCAAAACTATCCGCGAAAGGCCATCTCCAAATGAGAGGAAACGATGAAGACTATACTCGTACAGACATTACCACGTAAATGTCAAGTGTGTGTGTTTTCTCGCTTTATTGAAATTCAAGTCGAGCTGGGTGGGTCCCGGGATGCTTGGACAAGTACTTCGATACCTCTGTTAAGCGTTTTCTCCCATTCAGTCTTACAATGAGGGCATTATACATGCAAAGAGCTTTACGCTCAAGGAATGGTACGATTGCGCGTGTTTTGGTGTTTGTTAAGCAAGAGACCCCCCCCCGTCCATCAGGCGACACCGTTCGCTATTTTTACGGAGTGAAGGGCAGATTACTTCCTTGCACGTTAAACTTTTTTTTCAGGACAGGGCCATCGACGCCGGGGCGAGACACTTGGCCCTTTATCCTTACCCTGTGGCTTGATAATATTCGGCATCGAGTTAATTTCATGCTACTAAATTTTACCCTCAGGCAAAATCTTTTTTTCGCTCTTCGTCGCTTTTGTTTTACCGCGAGAGGAGTTTGAATTGTTAAAAAGACGTTGACGATAATTTACTCACCCGTGGCACTTTTTGTCGGTTTTGAACGGTTTCGGCCGTGTTGTGATGATATTCATCGTGGATATTACCTGACGGTTCACGGGTGGGGGCAGGAAAGCTTCCACCTGTGGCATGAGGGAGTTGAGGACGACGAGGGCTAGCACCTTAAGCTCCAGCTGCAAAGGTGTATACTTGACCGCAGCGAATGAATGCGGCTGCTTTGCGGTATCTTTGTTCATAATTCAACGGTGGGTTGCGTACCGGTTTGGCGAGAACAGGTTGACGGCCTGCCTAGCGATGTAGGAGTCTTAAGATGTGCGCCATGATTTTTTTGTTCCAAAACAGCACTGTATTCTTGCCTTGCCTGGTAGTAATTCCCTTCCTGCACGTATTCATTTGAACGTTCAAGGCGATTTGCGCCGCCTTCGTCGTTTCTCTCTCCCACGGGATTACCCTCTGGAACAGCAAGCTTGTTGGGATCTATGTCACGCCTTTCCATCTGTTTTTGATGTTTTTCCTCTGTTTTTGATGTTTCGAAAGTATGATCATTCTTAAAATAGGCTGTACTGTCTTTTATGTACATGTCTTGGCACGCGCCACATAAAGTTTGGATTCTTCATGACTTCTCTATGAATGAAATACTTAGCCGATCTTACAGGTCTCACGCCTTATCGTACGCAGGCAAGGATCGCACTTGCATTTAATGAACAACAAAGTCTCAAGGATCCCATGGTCGGTCGGTGTTTGTCCTAGTTCAAAAGGCAAAGGTCATGGAACCCGAACGTCCAAGCCCATGCTAGACCAGGACCGCAGGGGAAGGAGAGCAAAATACCGCCACGCAGCCGCTTGATGACGGGGTAGTAGCTAAATCCAGTCTTTTATTTTCACATTATCCTGGCACGTTGGCGATCCCCCCGCGTTCCCAGCCCGTAAGATCCCTACCACGTCTGAACACATTTCTTGGCCGACCACGAAAAATGGACCTTTTGGTTTTGTCTAACGGATGACAAAGTGTTTAAGGAACACTCTAATGGCATCCCTCACCAGTGCGAAAAATGAAGGGGGCTCTCCAACATTCTGCTGAACGAGGAAAGGTAGACTCAAGGTATCCTGATCGCATTCAAAGTTGTGCACCTATTTGCCGCGTCGAAGTCTTATAAACATCCCCTCTCTTAGCATACTGACCTTTTCGGGGGACATATCATGGTAGTCAGAACTATCGTTGAATGCACGGCCTACATGTGATGAATTACGATTCATAGAAGAGGCGAAAAGACCAGCCACGCGGGGCTGTGCTGGGACGCTTTTTTCGACGCTTTTCCAAAAATTGGTCACTGAAAATAGTGAAGTTCTCGTAGATATGAAACCGCTACAACACTCAGCTGTTTTAAATAACTGTGTTACTGTTTTTATAGCTATTTTAAATAAGTTAGTTTTTTTCGATAACCATGCGAAAAAGGAAAAGACGATGATTGTACATAGTGAACGCGGGAATAATCTGCGAATTAGATATTGTGAGAAAGGCCTTGTCAAAAAGAAAACGTTTTGGGATTTTGAATGAGCCATCTGGCATGTTTCCAGTATATGACTTTTGCGAGCGTCATCAGCCAAAACTGCGAGAGTTTGCAAATATGTTAGAGGTTTCCTTTTTGATGTGTCCTACCTATGATGTACACATCTCTTAAGTTTGATCTACGTCACAGTCGGAAAGAGGCTTTGGAGAACCAGATTTCGGACTCCTGAACCCAGCCAGATCCTTCGGAAGACCAAAACATTAAACATCGGATACAAGCCACTAGACTTGAATGTACGAGGGTGTCAAATGTCCACTATTTATAGGAGGAGAAAGCTGCTACTCGATGTAGTTCATCAAGAGGATGGAAACGTTCCACCTGTTAAATTAAGAGTAAAAAAGATACATGAATTAGTTACAGCTTCTTTCTTCCGTGTCGGGCAGCATCCCGGACCCACATGAAGGTTTCTTGCATTTCTGTCGCACATGTGGACATGATTGTACCTATTTCATGACAAAGGGGTGGAAGCGCTTGACCCTCCAGTCCCAATAAGTTGGTCTTTCCGTCAATATCAGCTTTATCTGCTCCTGACTTGGAATATGTTTGTACGCAGTCATGCTGGAAGACAGCCTGAAGGCGACAAGGTGAGTATGAGTGACAAAATGACCGCGCAAGACATTGGAGGTAGGTGAAATTGCAAAACACGACAAATTCCAATATTCAAAACGTACGGTTTTATTTGAGATGTCCAGCGAGAGAGGCTCGCTGCTTCTCTTGCGGTGCCGGAGTTTACGGCCTTTGAAGTGCTCCCTCTTGGATGGTAGGCTTGACACCATGACAAGCAGTTTTTCTGCCTACAATTAACGTAAAACCCCCCAAAGAGATGAACATTCTCATGGTCTATAGCTGGCTCTGTTTGATTGGCCGCCATGGCCGATATGTATAACGGAATTTTCGCACTTACCTCCGGTAAAGTACGTCTCTCGTGGGCCGCTAGGCTTATCCTTCTCTGGCAATATTACATGGTAAAGCTGTGTTGAGATATTAATCAACTCTTCGCTGGCTTGAGATGCTATCGAATATTGTTCATACCGCGGAAGGGAATTCTTCATTTTTGATGACGGCATACAATACAGCACCCCTCAGATCATGGCCGCCACAGCGGTGGATTCTTTAAACAGCGCGTCGTTCGCGGCCTTTCTATACAAAATTGTCGGAAGAAGACAAAATTTGGAAGAAGACAAAATTTACTTGAATAGCTTACATAGAGCGTGGAATAACGTATGTGTTCGTGTATTTGGATTCGTGTGTACGAAAATCCGGAACCCGCATCTCGCCCGGGACTAGCGCCGGGAAAAGCGTGTCACGTCAGCCTTAAGGTAAAGGCCGAGAAGGACGCAATTCCCAGCACGGTTGTTTGTTTCCATTGCCTTTCAGATCCTAATGTAAGGCTAGTTAAAGACCGTTGACCATATCCTGGGTTACATCCGTCAATCAGCTTTTTGGCTCACGGTATGCTGACGGTGTTTGTCGGAAGACGTTGGACGTTGGGGGGGTGGGATGTTTGTTGAAGGATGTTTGAAGGAGGTGGCAAGACTGATTTGTGGCCTTCAGTATTTAGAGTCGTGAGATAATAAAGAAGCTCAACAAATGGGAAACCCCAAGATTATCACTTTAAAAGGCAGAGACGTTTCAAGTCTTTTTGCTTTAGTGAATTTCGAGCTAAATAGCATTATTACATATGCGGAATTTGATGTCTCTCAAGATCTATAAGCCTTGGTTATACTGACAGACTTAAGATTCTTAATATTGACGGGGTGAAATAGAGTGTGTATGGTACAAAAAGCTAAGTGGTCGTGAAAAGACGGAAGGAAAGCCAATAAATTTACGGAAGGTAAGTGGCGATCGAAGGAGGGATATAGGGCCTTCGTTCCTCGATAAAGCATCAAGTAATCTCTGCTCGAACTTTCATAAAAGATTTGGGCGCTTGGAATATTTAGAAAAGATGTATGTAATTTCGATGGAAGACATCGAAATTTTCCATAAAAAATCAACGAGATATCTGATTTCGATCAGATAACATGTGGGTTTCTATTTGCCGTTGCGTAGGAGAAGTAAACGAATAATTATCATCATTATTGCTGGAAAGATGGATATTATACATCTTACAAAGATGAGATAGATGCTGTCGAATAAATTGTTAAGTTTGACAGTTATGCACCGAACTCCTTCTCTTTACGAAGAAATTCGGGCAAAAGCGGGCATAAATTTAAAAAGCATCGGACAAATATGAAAACGATTTACCCGGCCACGTATGTTCGCAAAAGTAAATCCGAGGCGGCATCCTCTTTGATCCAGTAGTATGTTAAACCCGAAATTGGGCCAACTACTGTAAGGCGGCGATACGAACCCAAGAATATCATCGGACCTGACGAATATCTGTTTCGTTGTTCTTTATTACGGCATGCAGCGTACGCACTATTGCCTCTCCATGGAACTCCCATGTTCAGCGCCTGCGACGCCGCAATCCCCGAGATGGTTGCCTTTCATGTCCTTGCCCCGTCATCGCATCCACGAGTGAAGTGGATGGGGTGGTCCCCACCGTGGACGTGGGGGTGTGTTTGCAAGGTGCTTCGCAAGCTTTCCTTGCCCCCCTGCCCTTCGTAACCCGTTTCAAACCCTTCCGTCTGCACGAGACGCACGTTATCGGACAGGACCAAGGGATGGAAGCATTGGCAGGGGAAGGAAAAGGAGGGAGGCGTGAGCACGCTTCTAATTCATTTCCCATACTGGCAGTCGATTACACCGTCCACGTCCTGCATCCAAAACTGTATAAGCCCTTCCCCCACCCACCCCAAACAGCAAAAATACATTAAGAACCAGGGTAAAGCGAGGTGACCAGGCAAGATCGACATGGGAGCCCACGAAGCAGTCAAGGCCTGCCACTGGTTCCGTCCGCGTAGAAATAAGAGGAAAACGTTTATCAACCCCCCCCCCTAAGGCCCCCAGAAATGCCACATGAACCCACCGCCATGTCGTGTAAGCCCAACTGCTCGTCTTCGTCCCAGGATCGGGTGTAGGACTCCGTACTCAACCGTGTGTCTGCCGCTGGGCTGCGGGAGACGAGCAGAGAGATGAGGATCAGGACTTGAGGCCCTACGCATTGGGAAGGACGAAGCCCACTTCTTCCTTCCCCTCTGCGTCCCTC